CTCCCCCCCCCCCCCCCCCAAATAAGAATGTTTGTTAATCTTGGCATTTTTATAACTTTTTAGGAAAAGTGCCAGTTTTTCTTCTGTGGCATTAAAAGGAGCTATTTAAAATACTAAAATGCAGAATGATGGTTACGGAAGTAATAATCGTGCAAAAAGGAGCTACCACCAAATTACTTTAGCTCCAAAATTGGTCTTATCTTTTCATCCAGAACTTGGTCAACTCCCGTTCAAGATAAATCCAAGGCAGTCTACTTAAAATTTAAATTGGTTTACAATATGAGGCATGTTCCTCTTGTTATAAATGCACTAAATGTTCTAAACCGTACCAAATGGCACCGTTGATTTGCCCTCCAAAATACCAAAATTTTTCAGGCCCTTCAGCGGGCCCCTTACCCCACGCCAAGTTGGGGGGGGGGGGGTGGCTTTGCATCTGCGCCCCCCCCCCCTTCAAATAATCCTGGATCCGCCGCTGTATCGTTATACCCACAAATAAACCGAGGTGTCTCCAGTTGTTACAAGTCTGTGGCTGTGTGTGCTAGAAGAGCATAGTGATCGGTTGTGATTGCGTTTTTAGCGTCTCAGCTACAGCACTTTAAATCCCAGTTTTAAAGGAAACTGACGTCAACTAATGCTCACTTAAGTAAATACAATGAGAAGGAGATTCCACAGCGGCTGTGGTCTCACCACCGTAGAATGCAGAGGTCGTACACTATAGCTGATCATTATTTGGCTTTCAGATCTAATGAAGGAGATGGGATTGTACTTTGGTATCCTTTATCTTCTCTTTTCCTTTTTCTATCAAAAAGGTCCATTTGAGAACCCATAAATTATTTTTATCAGAGACAAGCAGCTAGGTTTTATATAAGCAGCTAGATTATGATTGCCTGAATACTCAAATTTCTTTTTATGTCGTGTCGAAATTGTATCTTATCTATGCATCACACGGAGCATGATAGCTGGGATCTCTGATGATAATTTTTTTCTTAAATTAATAGAAAAATTATTTGTGCACTGGACACTTTTTTATCATATGGCATTTTATGGTCGTCGGCATATCTCCCTGTCCTCCCTTCAATTCTCTTTTTTAAGATCAAAAGTCTGAACGTAATTCATAATCTTAATTCCGTTTATCCTGACCAAGAACAGGTGGAATCATGTAATCACTAAATAGTCTAAAGTCCTCATTAAAATACACATGTAGCCCTTTTCCATCTCGAAGAAAGACGCTAGTATTGGTTTTAATAGTAGTTTATTTGTTTTATTATTATTATTATTAGGGATGTATCAAACATAATTACTAAAACCAATAGGTCCACAATCGCCCAGATTAACGTAAGACTGGTTTTCTATTAAGGCATACAACAGGTCCTTTCATTAGGAAAAAAATCCTGAACATTCCAGCAATTTTTTATTGTATTTTATCAAAGGTGAACAGTTCTGGTATATTGATGTAGTTTATAGGTCTACATGTATGCTTATATTTACGACGAAAATCCAAAGGTTTTCACTTAATTGCTGTTCGCATGTGTCTTGGAGAAAACGATGCACTGATTATTAACGGAGAAACGGCTGTCACACGGCTCACGTGGATCAGCTCTCGTGCTCGTGCGGGGTTAAAGGTCATATCATCAGTAGGTCAGGGTCGTGTATAACTTGCCGCACTGAAACTAGTGAATCAGTACTACAAATGAAATCAGAACAAACGGACTATATTCTCCGAAAGACAGTTCCTAGAGATCGAGGGTGGAAACTTCATAAAGGTGAGTAATGCAGAACCAATACTCTCGATCATTTCTCGATCTTGAAGTGCAGTGCGCCGATATCACATTGTCAGAGCATGTGTCTGAGAGTGAAGGTCTCTTCGTCACGTACTTGGATTGCCTTGTTGCCTGAGATCGTCGTTAACAAATCTGTGGATATGTTTGTCGGCTCTTTTTATCGCATTTCTAAGGTATGGGTTTGATTTTTTAAAAAATCAGAAATAGTGACCATTGCGGATTTAACAGGATTCATGTTTTATTTAAATTAACAGGAGTTCTTACAGTCTTGACGCCTTGAAAAATTACGTTGATTTTTACAATTCTTTTGTAAAATTTAATTAAACATACTTTTCATCAGCATTTTAAAAATATCTTGTACGTGAACAAGAACAAAACATGTTGATAGTATAAACAAAATATTTATTCCTTAAAACAATCTTTATTTCTTCTGTTATACTACAGTGAACAACTAGAGATAAGACTGAACTGTTTGAACACGGGACAGTTTCGTCACGCTACACTCGTGTCAGCCTGCGGCACTTTAAGGCAAATGTAATTGTTAACCAGGCAGTAAAATGTCGCTTGTCAGCGTGTAAATATTATTGATGTTCCTATACATGTCAACTCTCTCCCGGATAATCCGGGAGTCTCCCGTACGAGTAACCAAATCTCCCTGATAAAAGCGTCCTGTCTCAAATAGGCTACCCCAGAATAGTGGGGTGATCTTTTTAGTAATTGTCTCCTGATTCATTTTGGGCAAATTTGAGCAAAATTTTTATTTAGAATCTCTCCAGATTTTAGTTTTCTGGAGGTTGGCATCTCCGTGTTCCAGGTAACGGTAATTTATTTCCTTTAGCTGATAGGCCTAGAAACGAGCTACGCAATTAAATTCCATGGTAATGCACCAATTGTTTTGTTAATTATATATTTATTCCATGGACTGGTACATTGAACCACTACTGAAATAATTTTAGTTGGATTTAATTTAATTGTCACAAGAAGCAGTATTAACCAGTAACATTGGTAGGCATGACAATTACACAGAGTATATAGATAAGGAGTGAAGCCATTGTTTTAACTCAAAGAAATAATACTAATCTCCAAAATCAAATTATTTTAATGAATGCATTTATCTCGTACAGTTCTCACAGCCAGAAAAAGACTAAAATGTGAATTTTCACCACTGTCATATTATGGTATGTGTAGGCCCTACAGTCTACCCTCTTTGTGACCCTGTCTTAAAAAAAAAAAATCTGGCTACAGGTCTTGCTTACATGTATTTTTCATGAGATGTTATTAGCAGTAGACTAGCACATAAGGTAGTCACCTGTCCAAGGTTGGCAGTCCAATGGAACCCCATATTTTGAGTCATTTTATGCATTTATCTTTTCAAAATATTTGAATCCATATTTACTTATTTATTTATTTATTTATTTATTTATTTATTTAAATATATGTGTGTATTTTTCAGAATGATCTAATAAGCTACGATTTCTGAGAGAAAAATTTAAACCACGAACATAAGTATTTGTTAGCAAATGATATATGTTACTGCAGGCAAAGCAATGTTCTAGCAGTAGAGTAAACAGTCTTGAAAGTCTCATTTTATTGATCATATTTAGACTGCTACAGTTGTTATGGCTTTACGGTAAGGGATGAATCTGATTGGCAACCAGATTTGTATGGTACAATGATACATTATTAGCAGCCTTTGGATTTGCAACGTATATAATATATATCACAGAGAATATAGTTGATACACTATGGAAAAGTGCTCTACCCATGGTGACGGACCATGGGGAGCTAGTATAGAAAGACAAAAAACGCACAAGTTTCTCTCCATTATAATTTATATAAGTCCCTACAGCTGTTTTGGCTGCTTATCCAAACGACATCATACCTCACTGAGCAACTATATTTGGCCTTTTAAGGACAAAAAATCAACTATGGACTGAAGTGGTCAATACTAAGGAAAGCACGACCATATTCAAACATAACCAAATGGTGTCAGCTCTGCCTGTGGGAAAAGTTTTACATCATTACTGCGGAAAGACGGAAAACGCTGAACTCTAAAAATGAACTCGTCAGTAAATGCCGACACTCCAGAAAATAGTTGCTGAAAAACATTGATTATATGCACTAATTTTGAAAAGTTACTTATATAATCACATTCTTTTATTATGTAACGTAACCGCATTCCTTTGTTACCTGTACGCGCGATGTAGCGCTAACGTATATTTTGAGCGACGTTTCACATTGACCATTTTTAATCAGTCTTTTTTTTTGTATTTTGTTCTGTTTGCGCCCCTGACAAGGCTTCCGGGCCGAAACAGCTGTAGGGACTTATGTAAATTATAATGGAGAGAACAGTTTAACCTTGTTCATTTTCTCTCTCTCTCTCTCTCTCTCTCTCTCTCTCTCTATATATATATATATATATATATATATACACACACACACACACACACACACACACACACACACGTTGCAAATCCAAAGGCTGCTAATAATGTATCATTAAATGTATAATGTATGTATATAGTTTTAAACACTAACAAGAGCACTCAGAGAGCACAGACCTCTGCCAGGAAAAAGACAACTAAAATAAGCAATTAATCAATCAATTAATCACTTTAACCATTAATGTTTAATTGTGGACTGCAGGTTGGAGATTTTATCTTAAATTAAAGGTTTTTAATTTTTTATTCCTGTTGCATTCATTGTGTATCTTCAAAATATCCAATTATGCTTGAAACATAGCTCCAAGTTCATCGTGTGATGTAATATTAGGATTTTTGGGGCAAAAACATCATTTTGGTTCCCTGATTTTCTCAGGCACCTGGACAGCTATAAACATGCTTTTGATGGTATTATAACAAATGAACAAAGTACTCTAAATGGGGTTCAGGGATTTTTTAAAAGACTTACTGGTGATTTTGTCTATAAAATGTGATTTTTAGCCCTGTTTGGGCACTGTCCCCCCTTAATTCATCAATCAATCAATTAATTACCTAACCATTAATTATTTAATTAATTCACACTTAACCATTGATTAATCTAAGGATCATCACCAAAATCTTATCATTTCTTCCTTGGCACATTTATGACCTATCCTGTTAATTTCACCAAAATCCCTTTATTACTTTTTGCATAAAGCTGCTAATAGACAAACAAACAAACAAACCAACAGTAATGAAAAATGGTGGAGGTAATAGCAATAGTTCAAAGGTTCAATAGTTTGACGGTTCATTGGTCCAAAATGGCAAATGTTCACTATAGAACCTTCAGACCAACGAACCCTTGATATTAAAACTGATGAAAATGTTACAATGTTTTGGACCAATGAACCTTCGGATCACTGAATCTTTGGACTATCGAGATGTCCCAAGGTATTAATACATGCCGTTGGAGCTGCTGTACACATCTATTTTATAATTTTAACTTTCAGGTCAAAATCTGCTTATGTACTAAGCACAGCAGTGGACCTCAGAAATTTATAATTAATTATATTATTTTTAATTTTATTATTTTGCTCATATTTACTGTGTGTGCGTGTGCGTGTGTGAGAAGTTGGCTGTGTTTTAAATTTCAAGTTGTTGTTTGCAAGAAGATATCTGATTTGCTATTAGGTATTAGAAAAGCAGGTTAAAAAGGACTTGTAGTTCATCTGGGTGCCACCAGGTGTGCTACTGTCCTGGCTATTGAGGCCTGCATGCTGGATTTGTAAGGTGCCATATATAATAGTGAGTTTCAGGGGCGGATTTAGGGCATCTTCTGGGTCTTCGGTCAGATTTTCAAGTTTACATTGACGGGTATCTAATTTTTTCTGTCGGAAGACAGTCAGAAAATGGAGGATGGATCAACAAAGATAATTTGGAAGACTTTCAGAAAATAAATTTGGATCCGCCCCTGAGTTTGGGACTGTTTACTCTTTGTTTGCTAAGATGCATTTTAAGACAACAAGTATCTTTTTTCATACATAATCTTCTTTTAGATTTTTATTATCAACAAAATGGCCTATTACTGAAGAGTATACTATTTGCATATAAAAATATCCCATTTTTCTTCGTCTTTATACTCTCCAAAGATACTTATCTTTCAAAATTCAAACATAATAGAATGATAAAATCAGTCAAATAAAGTACCTGATGTAAATGTCTGACATCTGAGATGTACAAGAACATACTGTATTATGTACGGGAATACATGGCATTCTTAATTACTTAATTTTTCGGAGAAGATAGAGTTGGCTGAAAAATTTTGGATAGGAAGTCATTAACACCAGCGTACATTTCCAGTTTTTACTTCACTTTGCTCCACCGACTTTCACACCCAACCCATAACAAATGACAAAAGTGTTCCAGCTGTTCCCTTACATCATCAGTGGTATTTTATCAGAGGCAGATTTAGGCCGTCTTCTGGGTCTTCCGGAAGATGGTCAATTTTTCAAGTTTACATTGATGGGTATCTAGTTTTTTCTGTTGGAAGACGGTCAAAATTGGAGGATGAATCAACAAAGATAATTTGGAAGACTGTCAGTAGATACCTCTGAATCCGCCCCTGTTTATATAGATCTTTACTAGTACCACAGAGCCAATAGCTCTTACGGTAATTACTGAATGGGGAAAAATTGAGAATTTTACTTATACAGCATTTTTAAGTCCTAATTTTTTAAAATTAGAATATTCCTATTGAGAGATAGCACCAAATTTAAAAAGCAGGCTACTTTATAGTTCTATTTTGTGCAGGAAAAGTCACCAAAAATGTAATTTCTTTTTTGATTATGAAATTGTGTATCTGATGAAAAGATGGTGTAATTACCGTCATTGTAATTCATGTTTGGGATAATAGAAAATTTGACAACTAATGCTGTAGTTGGCATTATCATCACATTGTCCAATGCAGAGTTTTGTGTGGTTGGGGGGACAAGGGTGAAAAATAAACCCTTACTTTCCTTACTATCTGTCAACAGGCCTGTATATTTAAAGATGCATACAAAGTCAATTTTTTGTCACAAAAACCAACCAAATGCCAGCATATAGTTTCAAGTAGTATAACTAAGAGAATTACCAAAAGGCATTGTTTAATTTTACCCCAAAGTGATGTTTGAACAGATTTTTCTGCTGGCATTCTAAGCTTTATGTCAATGGGGCAGGAAAGTAGGTCACGGAAGTAGGTTAAATTTACAACCATAAATTTAAAGAAAGGAGCAGTCTAAAGGTCTTTTATGGCCGATCGAGTGATCTATTCAGTTTATCCCTTAGCATGTCGAATTTATTTGAGTCATATATGAATCTAGTTGAAGTGGTTTACATGTGTTACTGGGAATCCACACTCCACCGATGCTCGGTTCGTATGTACCTTTAACAATTTTAAGGATAGGTTCTTTTTCCAAAAAAAGTTTGTTTTTTTTTACCACAGACCCTTACCTAGGACCAAGAACCTAGACACAGTTTTGATTTGAAAAGGGTGTTTTTGTACCCTCTGCCCCCCCCCCCCCCAAAAAAAAATAATAATAAAATAAAATAATAATGACAATTTCTTTTTTTAGATCAAAGTAGGAAACACCAATTCAAGCATAGCCTGCTGCTAGATCAAAGCATTTTCTGCTGAGCTGGTGTCTGTGACAGTGGACATTGTAAAAGTTGAGCCTTTAGGGTCACAGGCAAACTACCATGGAGTTGTCATATTTCACAGAGCCCACAACCCGGCTGGACCGGGACAGCCAGCAGGACCGGGACAGGCAGCGGGACCAGGAGAGCCAGCGGGATCTGGACACACAGAGGGATAACCAACGAGACCAGGACACACCGCAGAAACAGGACACTCCACGAGAGCAGGAGCTCCAGCAGGATCAGGACACTCAACAGGACCAGGACATGCATTTGTTCCGTGACTTCAAACTGAAGAAGAGAAAAATTACAGATTTATTCCCAGGACTGCGTTTTGTGGAGCGTGCGAGATCTCCTGTAAGTGACATTGGAGACGGTGTCTCCACAGACAGTGGCTACGAAGGGACGTCCACTGAAGACGATGGTAGTCCAGCTGGCGAGCCCATGAACTCAGACCTTTGTCTGGACTCATCAATATCAGATAACAAAGATCTGTTGTCTTCTGATGGTGGTGTCCCACCGAAAGCAGATTTGCATTTACAGTCTGCAGTGTCCACAGAAAGGGATCGTAATGATATGTGTGAAGCCTGGAATGCAACGAGAAGAAATGCAACTGAGAACATGGCCCAAGGAGAAGATTGGGAACCATTGCCCAGACCACTACTTCAGGAAAGGTCACACAGTGCGCACTGCAGCACCTCTAATTCAAGTCGCTATCCTAATGTGGAGAACAACAAGCCTCTAGTCAGCCATGCCCTAGGGGATTATGGTAAAATTACATCTATCAACCCTGACTTTGCTTCATTGAATAACTCACTGCCATGTTATGGATTCAGCCCTTCCATGGTGGTGGCACCGTTGTTTTACAACCAGATGATCGCCATGCAGTGTTTTCCTAACATGACAGTCACTGCGGAAACATTAAGAAAAATGCCTGGGCCGAGCGCAACCTGGGGCTTTGAGAAGAGACCCAGAGTTGAGCCCTCTATACAGCATCGATCAGGTGGCTTCAGTGTCCCTCAGTTTGGGGAGGCACCTGTCAGTGGCAGACCAGAAAGGGACGAGGACAATAAGGGTCAAGGAAACAGTCAAACGTCATCACCTTTCTCGAAAACTGATGTGGAAAGCATGGCTTATTGTCACCAGCAGTGCGATTCAGCAGGTGATTCCGAGAATGGAAGCCCAGGGGCTGCAAAAATAGCCACTTCGAAAACAGGCTGCGTCGAGGATCGTTCTGTATGTGGGATCTGCGGAGATCGTGGGTCTGGTTTACATTATGGGATTATTACTTGTGAAGGGTATGTACTAAAGATGCCAGTGATCTTCAACTATTTTCTTTTTTATTTCCGTAGATAATAAGTTCAGAGAAAGTAAAAATAAAGTTTATTCAAATGAGAAAGGAGACTTCTTCTAAAATGTTCTTATTGTTATGAGCATATATAAAAGTTTGTTAGTTTTGTTTTATTTAGTGGTTCCATAAATGAATTGAAATAGATATCACAGTGATGCAGTGTATAGTTTTTAAACATTACAGGTTTTGATTTGACAATTTTAGAACAAATTTGCACTTTCCAGATCATTCAGTTTCTCTTCTTTAGGTTTTGATTTGACAATTTTAGATCAAAATTGCACTTTCCAAAGCATTCAGTTTCTCTTCTTTAGGTTTTGATTTGACAATTTTAGAACAAAATTGCACTTTCCAGAGCATTCAGTTTCTCTTCTTTAGGTTTTGATTTGACAATGTTAGAACAAAATTGCTCTTTCCAGAGCATTCAGTTTCTCTTCTTTAGGTTTTGATTTGACAATGTTAGAACAAAATTGCACTTTCCAGAGCATTCAGTTTCTGTTCTTTAGCTTTTAATTTGGCAACTTTAGAACAAAATTGCACTTTCCAGAGCATTCAGTTTCTCTTCTTTAGCTTGACAACTTTAGAACAAAATTGCACTTTCCAGAGCATTCAGTTTCTCTTCTTGACAACTGTAACCATGGCATTGTCAACATGCCTTACCCTCTTCCAGGACCACTTATAGTCACAAACATGTATATAAAATATATCTTTGGATAATTTTTGACAATTTTCTCTTCTGAGAGTAATGAAATGTGTCATTAATTAGCCAGAGGCATGTGGTATTTGTGAATATCGAGTGAAAAATTTATCTGTGGCCCTGGTAGAGGGTAAAGGTATCTATTCATTGGGTTTATAAGTACCACCAGCGTTTCTCTACAACTAAAACAGATACATCCATAGCTACCATTTAACTTGAAGGAGGCTAATCTTGCTTGTGGTACAATACCTGTTGGCCGTATCACCACTGTTGTATTTGTTTTCAGGTGTAAAGGGTTTTTCAAACGCACAGTACAAAATCGTCGCATCTACTATTGTATAAGCCAAGGCCACTGTGATGTTAATAAACTGGAGAGAAATAAATGCCAGTATTGTCGCTTTAAGAAATGTCTTCAGCAGGGGATGGTTGTAGCAGGTAAGATAGTGAACATTAGATAGTGAACTTTAAATATCATTGAAAATAATTGATTTTACACAATCAGTAGCTGGAATTCACTTTTTCAAGCAACCTTTCTGAAAATGTGGAATAAATTAGATGAGGTATATTAAGATTTTGAGGTAATATTAAGTTTTTTTTTTAATATTTCCTCAAATTGGTAGGTTTTGTATGTGAACAGTCTCTGTTTACTTTTAAAATGGCCTTGGTTAAACATTCATTGTCTTTAAGATTGCAAACCCCAGTTACTTAATGTAAAGTATGACAAAAGTGGCTTTAAACACAGAGAATTCTACCTGTAAATATGATGGATAAAAATTTTCTACTATGTAGATAGCTTAATTGAGCGAAGATTAATTTATTTAGTGGTCTACTGTGTTGAGAATATTTGGGCCATTTTACAAAAAAAAAAAAAACTAATGGATAATGTTAATAACCCTAACATAAAGGTACAATGGGGATCTCTACAGAGGTTCCAAGGATTGAAAAAAAGGCTAGATGATATTTTTCATTTTTAAAACTAATTTTAAAGTCAAAATTTGAAGATCTGAAAACAACAGTGCTTTTTTATGACTTGATGATTTTGATAGCCATTTCTTACAGATATTTTTCCTAGCAAAGACATGCAAATTTCCTGTGACCTTATAGTTTCTCGTATAAGGGCTAGGATATGCTGCAATCATAATTGAATCTATTAATCATTAAAGAAAATTTTATTATGTAGCTGTTCGTGAGGACAGGATGCCAGGCGGCAGAACAACAGGACCAGTGTATGATCTTTATAAGGTAATGTTCCTGAAATTCAGCCATGATGTGAGTGTGTGTGTGTGTGTGTGTGTGTGTGTGTGTGAAATCATGCGAGTTGCTACTGTAAATTGATAAGGGGCTTGAAGTAATTATTGTTTAATCATGGTTATATTTAAATGCAAGTTTATTGCAAGTAAGATGAAAGATAGAAGTTTGAGATAGTAAACCAATGAGTCTTCCAGTCTTGAAAAAAATGTGTTTTTTTAAAACATGCCTCAGCTCATACAGGACCATTGTATCAGTGATCTCTTGATCTTAATTTTAAATCAGATAAAAAGAAAGACAAAGAAAAAAGAAACAAAAGTTGCGAAGCGATACCAATCATCCGTCCAGCAACTATCTACTCTTTCCAAGCATAATGGATTTCTCGTCCCAGCACTACCCCCAGCCACTCGCAAGGTGCCAAGCGAAGGTGCTGTAGCCCAGTCATCCAGTCAAGATGCACGCTGGTTGACTGTACAGAGTCCCAACACTCTCCTTGTCAACCCAATCTTGTCAGCATTTCACATGCTTCAGTTATTAGTCAACATAGACAATCACGGCGAGCTCATGTCCATTTACTGTTCCAACCTTGCACCTGGAGACTCGGGCCAGATCATGCTGAATGATCGCAGCAAAGAGTACCAGAACAACCTGATGTGTTGGTTTAACAAACTGCAGTTCCAGAAGCAAGCACTGGTGAATCTGACTAAGGAGAAATGGCATCACGTCCTGTTGCTCTCTCTCTGTGCCCACCATTGTTGGAAACTAGACAGTAGCAACAGTGGTGGTGGCAAAGATGGGAAGTCCAACTCAAGTGGATGTGAGGCTGTTGTTTTACATCAGGGAAACTCATCATCCAATCATCAGCGCCATCTACATGAGGTTTGCATGCACAAAATTCAGCAGATGCTGAGCTGTGCCTTTCTGCGAACAGTTACCCAGAGTGAGATTCGTGCCGAGGCCGGAGACACAGTGGACCGTGTCGCGCAGGTGATGCAGGCCCTTTGTAAGCTGGCGCCAACCCTTGAGGAATATGTCTGCCTAAAACTGGTTCTTCTGCTCAATCTAGGTAAGCGCAGCAAACAAATCTTTACTCCTTTCATCCCTAAGCCCTGCATTGTGGTTGGAATTGCTTTGAAAGCTGACTTCATTAAGAGGAATAAGATCAATATACAAAAAGCAATTTGTTTCTCCATCTTTTTCTGTACAGCGTGTTCCAAACTTAGCTCTTAATTATCAGCATAGATTTTAACAAATTATGGCTTCCTGTTTTGAATCTACCAGTACATCATAATATGTCATGATTTGAAGGGATTCGAGTTCATGAACTAGTAGTCCAATTCATATTCTGAAATGAATACTGTAAAGTTTATTTTAGGTGATATCTGCATTTATTAAGCATTGTTTGATTGAAAGGCATTTGGGATGAGTAAATTGCCCAAGAAAAAGGGTTTTAAAGTTTTTTTTTCAAGAAACAACAGCAGAATTTGTTTTTGGTGTAATTTATGTAAAGTTTGATATCATTTTCATTCCCAGAATTTGCAAAATATTGATTCAATTTTAACATTTTATTAATTATTTGATTAAATAATCAATCTGTTTATTTGATGGGAAATTTTTTGCATCCTTGATATTTGTCTATGACTCTTCCACCATTATTAACAGTTAACGTAATTCACAGCTTTCTTTTCCTGGCCCTTAATCATGATCACTGGAAAACACTTGTGACATGAAGATAACCTGTTATAATCTGCTTGTTATTTTCCAGCTGAAGGCGAAGAGGCAGAAGAAGAGAGACAAGCCTTACAAGATCAGTTTGTTCAGATACTTCAGGAGGTCATCGAGATCAAGCACCCTCAAAGGTCAATGCGTCTTGGTCGCCTGTTGCTATGGATACCTCAGATTGAGGCTGCGGCTAATCAGCTGTTGCAGAGCAATTTAATTCACATCCCTTTTTTATGTTAAAAGGTAATGTTTTTTTTTCAAAAATCACTGCATGTCCTGTCCCTGCACTTGGATTATTTTGTACCATTTTTAATTAAACAAAGTAAAAATATCTGCCAAAGCAGCTCAATTTCCTCATATTTGCAATACACAATATAACAATTGATAGTCCTGAGCACCTCCAAAATCTAATCTTTTGTTACTTAAAGCACCTTTGATAGTTTTTAAAAGGAGAATGATATGTCTGTAACATTTACGTTGCTAACATGCAGATAAAAAGACAGAACCAAAAACATAAATTCCTTGACAAAGGTAACTATGTTCTAAATGAATCTTAAACCTCCATCTGTCCTCCTGACATTTAACATAGTCATGTGCTGCACAGAAGGGGGAGTTTCATATTACGCCCTTGTACTTTGTCAAATACAAGGGCATAATATGAAACTCCCCCTAATGTCTGATGAAGGCCTTTGACCAGGTCGGCCATAAGCTAACAGTATGAAAATATTTCGGCTTGTGTTCGATATTTCTCATGTATGATCCAACTACCAAGCTAATGAACATTTTTGCTCAAGTCATAATTCACTTTCAAGTCATACACCGTGCTATTTGCATTACTTTCAAGTAATATGTTTCATTATACCCAAAAGCTCTCTGTAAATAAAAATATAACAAAAGTTAAGCGACCAGAATGCCCTGAGAGTCTATAACCATCCATGAGGCTAATGAGACCTTGTCTTGTAATAGTGACACCATTATACTTGGAAGTCACTATCCTGCTAGACATTAAGACAGCATTCCCACAGATTTAGATCTATCCATCTGGATGGACCTTACTCCCTAGGGGTTCATGCTAAATTGCTGTCAGCTGAGCGTGCACTATAGTTAATTACCCCCTTACAGCTTTTAGTAGGCGGGACAGACATTTACGCCGGTTAAGCTGACACCAATCTAGTGAGGCTCCCCAGGGGGATAGGTCAATCTAAAAATCTGTGGGAATGCAGTCTAATGTGCGTAGTGCTGCTTTTCATATTGAGGAAATTTTCAACACTTAATGAAAACTTACTAATACCAATACTTGGGCCATTGTCAGACACACTGAAGTAAGGAGACATTGTTTAGTGAACAGTCTAGTGCTAACTTTAATTCATTTTTTCTCAAGATCATAGATCATTACTAAGTAAACATAGGAACTGAAAAAGCCACGCATTCTGAGAGCGGTAAACAACCCACGGAGAAGATGAAATTTGGCTGACCCACTTGAATGCTTGTTGCATAATCCCTGCAGGGAATCTATTCAGTGTCTAATCGGGAATTAAGCATCAAGTTTTTCAGTCAGTGGCCATATTTGATCGGTGGATCTGTTAGTCTGCTGTTCTGAATGTGCTCTTTGTCTACGAATCAAACTGTTTTAAAGTCTTATTTTGTACACTAGTGGGCTTGATTTGGTCTTAAAGTGCAATTTAAGAACACAAATAGTCTTACATGATCTTAAAACATGAGTAAGACCATTTCTTGTCTGACAGCCAATTAAGTTGTCTCCCCTTACACATTCTCCTATTGTGAGCAGAGGTGTCCTCTATTGTAAGGGGAGGTATCCCCTGTTGTGAGGGGAGGAAACTGCTTGACCACTTAAGTAGATGTTAGATCATTTTTTATCTTAAAAGCAGATTCAGTCCATTTTAAGACTACTGTTGTAATGATTAAGATCATGTAAGATCGCATTCACAACGAGTTGAGCCAGGCTTTACAAATCCTGGGGACTAAATATGGCGGTCGTACATGAAAGAAAAACCGCCTAATCTTTTAATAGTCTCTCCGCCTCTCACACGCCTCCCCACACGCCTCCCCACACGTCGTCCCTGCGGAGGGACAGTCATTAAATCTCGGCTCCATTGGGATGACACATTGGGATCACAACTCGTTTTGAATGCGATCTAAGATCACTTGTGAACTTAAATTGCACTTTAAGACCAAATCTAGCCCACTAGTGTGTACATATGGTAAATACTGCATGTTATTTTTTACAGAGAAGCCACTTCATGGCAAAGAAACCTCTGAAGTTGAATTTAGCCGATCATCTTGACTTGGGATGCTGTTTGGGAAATAACAGACTGACAATATCCGCAATTGTAAAGGTGATGATATTTTCTTAATACTAGTGTAGTAAAAGTGAGTACCGAGCAGTAATGTCATATTACGCAGAAAGTTAATATGGGACTGCTATAATATGTTAGCACCTGAGCGTATCTGGTTAACACTTTGATAGTTGATTTTGTACAGTATCTGTAACAGTGGGAACCACTGTAGGTTATGTTTTTTAGCAGGCAACCCAAGGTTGCAATCTCTTCACACAGATGGAGATTTTAAACATATCTGGCTTGAGTATACTGAAGTTTATATTTGAAAGTCCATTTTAATTACACAATAAACAAGTAATTTTTAAATTTGAAAATAGTTTCATTGGATCTTAGTTTTGATAGTCAGAAAGGTTTCATTTATGCTAGATCCTGAAATTTGATTTACCTGTTGACTGTTTTGTCTGTTCACTCTGACAGACTTGGTCACAACTGAATTACCTGTTCAGGTGAAGGTGAACAGGTAATTATCTCAGTATTGATGATGACTTGTTAGCCCCTCTCGCCCCCTCCCCCCAGGGTGGGTTTGAGAATGTCGTCATACACATGGGACAGCTTGTGTGCTCCTTCATCTCTTTTCATGGTGTGTTTCTTCCTTCTTATCCAGATCGATTCCCAAACTTTGTGCTTCCTGTAGTCATTTTCACCAGTTAGCACCTTTACATTGTCCCATTTTGGCACATGGTTGTTATCTGACATATGATCTGTGATGGCAGATTTGTGTAGAACTCCTGTCGACATAGAGCATTTGGATCTGGTGTTAACTCCCTCACCTACATTTTCCTTTACATCTTTCTTGTGTTCCTTTAGTCTTGTTTCTAATTTTCTTCCCGTCTCTCCAACATAGACTCTGTCACAGCTCCCACACCCGATTTGATATACTACTCCTCACTTCTTGTTGTCTTCTATCTTATCTTTTGGATGTACAAGAAAGTTTCTGAGTTTTGCGTGTGGTTTGAATGATACTCCGATGTTTTCCTTCCTCATTGCATTCATGATTTTCTCTGATATTCCTTTCACATATGGGATTGTAACCTGTCCTTTGGATTTTTCCACTTTCTGGTCTTTCTTATTTTTGGATATCTTACTTCCTGATCTTTTCATTTCCATTTGATGTTTCACCTTCTTTATTGTCCATTTTGGGTAATTACATTGTTTCAATGCTTCTTTTATGATGTTTTCTTCTTCCATCGTGTCCTCTGGTTCGGTCACTAGTTCGTAACAGCGATCTAACAATGTTCTTACCACTGCCAATTTGTGTACTACTGGATGGTGGGATGTGAAATCCAGATACTGGTTAGTGTGAGTTGGTTTTCTGTACACTTTGGTTTTTATGGATCCATCTGCTTTGACTACAGTATAATGTCTGTGTCCAAGAAAGCTATGTGGTTGTCCTTCATTTCTTCATTGGTGAATTTTATGCTGTTGGAGAGGTCATTGCTATTCATGTGTTGGTAATTCAGTTGTGACCAAGTCTGTCAGAGTGAACAGATGAAACAGTCAACAGGTAAATCAAATTTCAGGATCTAGCATAAATGAAACCTTTCTGACTAAGTAATTTTTACTTATTGAAGAACCATTGAGTCATCCAATCCATATGTTCCCGATGCCTTATCTGTACTTCAGTCTCCCGATATACTAGAATTAGAATGACTGGATTTATCAGCACTGGGAAGAAAATTTAAGTGTTGTTATAAGATCTATGGGAGAAACATCAAAAACATACTTTACTAGTATATACACTGTACAATCTCCCCTTGGTTACCAGCCAACATTCCCATTAATTAATCGTACCAGGTCAGATCAACTGGCTTCAGGGAGTATTTGCTACCTTCAGTTCAAGTGAAGTTTGTTATCTTGGTAAATATATTTATATCTGCTCATGTCTGTTACTGAATTTTTATGTGTATTGAAAGTCATATTGATTAAAACTACATGCTAATTACAGTAGGTCAAAATGTAAAAACTTAAAAGGATTATTTATGGTTACTGAAAATTAATATATTATTGTTTATGTGATATCTGTGTGAATACATTTTGTCTTTATTAAAAGACTGGGTAAGTTGCTGTGAACATGTTTTATTGTTACTGTCATAGTAGCTACATTAAAGTAAATAGACAATATCTTTATGATCAAGATCTAAATATATATTCATTTACTGTATTTATTTATTTATTTATTTATTTATTAAAAGACTTAGTGGTACTTGCTGCATCCAAATTACTTCAGTCAGTAACCTTTCATTTTTCTTTCTGTGCAATATGTTCATTTGAAGAGATGTCTATCCTATTGCTTCACAACAAATGATTTATGAGAGAAAAGCCTCTCAGATGAAAATAAGCCTGAATAATAAGATGCTATGAAATATGTAATTGATCATATATAAATATAATTTAGTTTTGTAATGAGCACAATTATTTAATGTTTTAATGATTTGAAGTTCATTGTTTGATTCTGCTGTGTAGAATGCCAGAGGCAAATGCTCAGTTTTGAGAGACAGAGTGTAAGGTACTTTCTTAGCATATGTTAGTGACAATTTGTCATAACCAAAAGTATGACAGAATGGTGTGTCACCAGATATGTTCCTCCTTTTGATCACCATCCCCCCCCCAAAAAAAAAGAAAGAAAAAAAGAAGAAAGAAAGAAAATGATAAAACAAGCAAAACGCGACACAACTTTTAAATTGCCTTATTCTGTTTTATATATTTACATGTACCTAGCAGAATGAGGCAAACACGTTTTATCCTTGTGCCCCCCCCCCTCCCCTTAACAAAATTCTTGATTGGTAAGTGTCATCACATTCTTACTCTGTGTGATATTTACCCAGGTACTGGAACATAATTACATACAGTTATTTTGGGGAAGTTCTTTTTCCAGATCTAAGCTTAAACCAACTTTACACTGGACTGTGTCCTTTCTGTGTCCTTTGTGTAACCATGAAACTGGCATCACTGTGGTCATAGAAAGGAGGCACAAGCATCGCAGAATGAATGCTCTGTGATTGGCCAATTGTTGGCACAAGAAGTATTATAATTGTTTACTCTCAAACGGGGCCGGAAAAGACACCATCCAGTGTAAAGGGAGCTTTAACAAAATTTTGGATTGGCAAGATTGATCACATTCATATTCTGTGATATTCACGAAGGTGCTTGAACATAATAACATACAGCTATTTCTGGAAAGTTCTTTTCCCAGTTCTTAGGGTTTACATTAGCACTAACTAGCAAGTGTGATGAGCTATGAACACCTGTTATGACAGGTTAGCCCACCGTAGAGAAAGTTCGCCTACTCAAAAACTCTCTGAGATGTTAGTTGAGAAATATGGTAAAAAGTATTAATTTTGGCAAAGTTGATGAACATTCCAATTAAACAATTTCATGAAGTCATGCTTTATGATCATGTTACAATGTTATATTAATTAGTACCACCAGCATGTATGCTGGCGGTACTTATGGTACCATAGCCCTGGCCCATCTCATATGGCTCCGCCGGTTCCACGTTCGGCTCTGGATACAAGTCACCAGTTCCGCTTCTCGTCCTAAACAGTAAGGGCCTGTGTCCCCATCTCTTAGATTTAGGTCACATATAATCTCAATTTAAACCCCCTGGTGCATTGGCCCAAGTGTGACGCTTGTTGAAACACACCCTTGTCAAAATTTTTGAAAATTTAGGTCAAATATCTCCAAAACCAAAGGAATTATGGAAAAAGTTACCACAGAAGTCTGTGGAGATTTTAAAGACGCCCTTGGATTTGACCTTTGATGTTTAATTCAAGGTCATACAGGCCAAAATTTTCTAAAAATGGGAATTTTCTGCAAAAAAAAATTGTTTGTGCCATTTTTCAGAAACTACTCAGACCTAAGCTGTCATTTTATAGTGAGGGTTTACAATTAGGGACTCCCATGTTTGGGGTCAATTAGTGCATGTTCACAGGAGAAGTAGCCATTAGATGCCGGAACATGTAAACTCTCACTAATTCTAGAACTGTAAATGCTAGAGATCTCTTGTTTTTTTGCATTTGGTAGAGCTTGTCAAGTGCAATACTGAAAGGGGTGTCCATTTTGTTTGTTTTTATTTGTTTGTTTGTTTGTTTTCCATATAGTTTAGGAGTTGCACTATATCAAAAAGTACAATGTCGCAATATTTAGTGGTGAAGATAAAATGTGAAATACTCCAAAATGAGCAGAGATATGCCCTTAGTTACTATTGAACTTTAATAAGAAGTCATATACTGGCAATCTAACTGTGACCTTAAGATTATCCTTTGAATTACTTTTCCTGATGAACTGCACTTTGCAAATTTTCCATCCCTTATATCTCCAAAACTCACAGAGATACACCAATAATTACTGTTGAAATTGAATAGAAATTCATATACTGGCAATCTTACTGTAACCTTGAAATTGATCTTTGACCTACTTTACTTGTTTGCAAGTTTTTCATTCTTTATTTCTCCAAAACCTGCAGAGATATGCCCATAGTAACTGTTGAAGTTGAATAGAGTCATACACTGGCAATCTAACTGTAACCTTGAAATTGATCTTTGACCTACTTTTCACCATGAACCACACCTTGCAAAATTTCAGCCTCTTATATTTACTTTTGAACTTGGATGAAAAGTCTTATATTCACAATCTTTTTGCAACCTTGGATGTGACCTTTTACATTTATCCATGATTTTGTTGTAAATTGTAATTTTCTACATAAAATATATGAGAGTTCTTCTTAACTGCATTTTGTAGAACTTGTCAAGCACAACAATGGAGGTGGTGCCCCCCTTTTGTTTTGTTTTTCATACGAATGCGATTTCTCCAGCTGGTGGTACAATATCCGGAGGCGGTATCACCTCACTGATCCTGTAGTCTTGTTGTAGTTTTCATGATGTTTATGAAATATTTAAAAAGGTTATTATAAGACAATGATAGATTTTTAAATCAAAATGCTTGTGACAGAGAAACATTCCAACAGCATTAGATCTAGGAAATATATTTTTGATGTGTGGCCCTATGTCCCACACGGGATGAGGAGGAATGATGATGATGATGATCTACCTACTGCCCCCATTGTCAAAGGGGCCTCTAGTATTCCCTGATATAAAATTAAAGAAAAGGTTATTTAACAATTTTATAAGAGACTTCTATTGACCCCTGTGGCCAGTGAGGCTTCCCATTGTAAGCATTATCATGAGGGAAAATCAAGTAAAGGGACTTGGACTCCCAAGCCAAAAGTACATTGAGTAATGTAGGTAAAAATTTTCGGCCTTTTGCCTCATTAACACGCTGTGCATTTAGGGTAATTTCATGGGGCTTTCTTATACCCCGATTTTAGTGTGCTTATTTAATTCAG